CACCACCCGTCTTTCCATCCTCACCGCTGCCAGCTACATAACCTGAAAGGGGAATTATGGGGGTGAGCAAACAACAGCTCACCCTGGGGAAACAATGCTATGCATAATATAAAGACAGTTATCACAATGCAGTATGTAACCAAATCACCACAACCATCCCTTAGTTCGCCTTACTCTCGATGTGCACACTTTTCCACTGACTACTCGCCAGTAGAAGATAATCAAACGATGTACGCCATCGTCAGGAGATACGCTCTCAAGGCAACGTCAAAGAAACGTCGATGTACTCCACCGATAGAGGATACGCTCTCCATAGATCAATAACCCACTCACATACATACATCATGAATACCATGCAATTATAAAGAATATAAGCGTAACAAGTTTAGAAACGCCCACCTACTCGGATAGACGGAAAGGATGCTACGTTCGAGCGGTAGATTTGAGGGTCGACTCCTCAGATACCGCGTTGCTCCCATGGCTGGGTTCGCCTATGACTCGAAGTTCCTCCTTCTCCGATGGCTCAGGACTCGTCTCCAACGGCACCTCACTATCCTCCCATTCATTTCCGAGGCGAGCAACTAATTCGTAGAAGTTGACTGGCGGGGGTCCTAGAAAGACCCTCGGGTTCTTCCTCCTGAAATCCTCGCATATCCTTTCAGCTGCTGACTTCCACGGCAGAAACCAGACTTCTAAGAGTTTTTCAACGCCTTCATCATGAGTGAGAGTAAGTCCTTCCTTCTCTCGCATGAATACTCAAAATTCAAGTACTTCCTGAATGCTGCTCCTCAAGTCCTTTCTTCTCTCGCATGAACCTTTCGACTTGAGGAGCAGCGTTCAGGAAGTACTTGAATTCTGGGTATTCATGCGAGAGAAGGAAAGACTTACTCTCACTCATGATGAAGGCTTCGAAAAACTCTTAGAAGTCTTGTTTTCGCCGTGGAAGTCAGCAACTGAAAGAATATGCGAGGATTTTAGGAGGAAGAACCCGAGGGTCTTTCTGGGACCCCTGTCAGTCAAGTTCTACGAATTAGTTGCTCGCCGCGGAAAGGAATGGGAGGATAGCGAGGTGCCATTGGAGACGAGTCCTGAGCAATCGGAGAAGGAGGAACTTCGAGTCATAAGCAAACCCAGCCAAGGAAGAGACGCGGTATCTGAGGAGTCGACCCTCAAATTTACCGTTCGAACGTAGCATTCTTTTCGTCTATCCGAGCAGGTGGGTGTTGCTAAACTTGTTACGCTTGTATTCTTTATAATTGCATGTTATTCATGATGTATGTATGTGAGTGGGTTATTGATCTATGGAGAGCGTATCTCCTGTCGGTGGAGTACATCGACGTTTCTCTGACGTTGCCTTAAGAGCGTATCTCCTGAAGATGGCGTACATCGTTTGATTATCTCCTGCTGGCGAGTAGTCAGTGGAAAAGTGTGCACACCGAGAGTAAGGGGAACTAAGGGATTGCTGTGGTGATTTGGTTACATAATGCGTTGTGCATGGTTGTGGTGATTTGGTTACATACTGCGTTGTGATAACTGCCTTTATGTTGTTTGCTCATCCCCATAATCCGCCTTTCAGGTTATGTAGCTGGCAGCGGTGACGATTATGCCTTTCTACTTCTTAAGAAGGAAAATATCACGATCCATGAAATAACAATTACACACCACAACAACTTCGCCCTTTTTTTCTTGCTTGCCAATTCAGCTTCTGCCAATTTAATGCGTCTCAAGAGTCCAAGTATAATTTATCGAGCTCTTGTACACATTGGAGGGTCGATCCACACAAAATGCTTGCAACCATTCTTGAACAAATCAAGTCAATGTAAAATCAAAAAATCAAGAACAATCCACCTGCCACTGAATTTCGAAAAAAAAATAAAAATAAATAAACATTGAAACAGTTTCAATCAACTTACCCGTTTGCACATTGTGTATCGCCTTCCCGGGTTGTTGTCCGTCCACGACGTCACCATCACCGTCCTCTTTCCACAACTGCAATACTCATCCAAGGTCACCTCCGAAGTCTGCTTCCACATTTTCTCCTCTTTTTCTTTTCCCTAGCTAGAATTTTGATTTGGGGATTTAGGGATTGTTCTTCATAAAATCTGATTTGAGGATTTTGTAAAGAGTCGATGGTTTGTATATGTAAAATGACAACTTTGTCCAAAATTAGTACCTGAAAGGTCGATTTTGCCCTTGATTTTGTTAAGTACAACAATTTTCGAAGTTCAAAGGTTAAAGTGTCACCGAAAAAAGATGAGTGGACAAAGTGTAAAAACGCGAATAGTTCGGTAGGCAAAGTGTAATTTTCCCTAGTAATAAATTCTAATTTATAAGATAATCAATTCTAACCTATAACATAATCATTTCTAACTTCTAACATAATAGTAATATATTCTAATTTATAAGATAATCAATTCTAATCTATAACATATTAATTTTTACTAATATAACTTTTTTCATAAATAAAATTAACTAATTCAAAAAAAAAAATTGTTCGCCAGCCGGACCGCCGCCGGCCAGCTATGTAGGCCACACTCAGTCATGGCCGGCCGCAGATTGCGGCCGCCAATGGCCACGACCTACATAGCCGGCCAGCCGCGACCGAACACTGCCGCAATCGTCGGTCGGGCGACGGCAGTCCGGCCAGCTAAAAAAACACACCTTATCGTCAATCATATTCTCGTCGAAAACTGCCTGGTAGAGAGAATTTTATAATTTTTTGAGGTTTTTGGAAAAATGACAATGACAAAATGGTCTAGGGGATGGCACGTAGTAATAAGGGATCGGTGTTTAGTAACACCCATTGAAAAATTATCCCCATATATAGTTGCTGATTGTGTTGAGCCTAAGTGTCAGATTCGCACGCTTCAGAATCCTATGTGGCAAAAAACTATGCTTCGTAGCTAGGCTTGGATATAAATTAATATTTTTCTGTAAAATAATAATTAGGCTTGAATTGCATTTAATATCTATATTATTTACATTAAATATATGATTGATCTCTTATTTCTTTTCTTATACAATTAGTTACCATAAAGACGCTTTAAGTTTTCTTTTCCTACATTACCATATATTACATTTCCTTTTCTTATTTAATTCGTACACCAATTATTATAAATGTGCATTCTTCTTATTTTTAAAATTTTATAACTTTTTTGTTTGTATTTTGATTTTTATATGATATATCGAATTTATTATCTTTTAACAATTTTCGATTTGACATTCATATTACATATATAAAATATAAAACAATTGTATATATCCTTATAAATAAATTTTTAAATTGATTTATCAAACTAAATTAAAAAATAACAAAAAAGATACAAATTATCTTATGAAGCAATAGAAATTGATCTATATTAACATATCATAAAGTATTTATTAAAAGAATATATATAAACAAAGTACGAACATAAAATAAAAATAATATTTCATACAAAATATTTTATAGAATTCAAAATAATATTACAAATTCTTTTACTTTATTATTAATAATTTACAATTTTTATTTCACAATAAAATTTTTATTTCTTTTTCATTTTCTGTTGCACAATTATTTTTTCCTCACACACCTGTGTAGTTCACGCATTGTACTAGTTATCATTAGTGGCAAGTGCATTCAGCTTTTGGAATCCACACAGAGCCTACACGTGTCATCCGTCATTTCAATCGAAAGAACAACAGAAACAAAGGCTCCACATTTGCTCTCTTATTAAAGTGAGATACAACATATACCAAAAGAATGGCTACCTTACCTTTGGTTGTTAGACCATCTCCAATCGAAAAACTCATTCTCAAACTCATTTTGCAGTAACTGTCAGATCAAACAGTAATTCATCTCCAACCGAAAAACTCATTTTCAAACTCAAATGAATATTCTTGGAATATTCTCTTTTACACAACTTTTACAAATTTTCAATACTACCCACATATTTTGCTACTCTATAAATTAAACCACACTATTATTTTAAATTCAATTTAAAATTTATGTAATAAAATTAATTATAAAGTTATAATTCATATATATAATAGAATTAGAGAAATATATATTCATTAAAAATTATATATATATATATATATGCTATTAACAAGATAATACCCCATGATGTATTTAAATAGTTGATATTAGTAAAAATAATGTAAAAAATTTACTCTATTCTTTGTTGGAGATAAATACTAGACTAAAAGATATATATTTACACATTATAGAAAAGTTATAGATTTTTCAGTGATGATAAGATAAAATAGGAACCTTCTTAGCATTTGGACTACAAATTTTTAATGTTGATATGATAAAAAGGCAATCTTAAAAAATATTAGGACTCAAAATACAATATTAAAACTTTTTGCGTTTATGAACAGTGTATACGCAAATATGCGTTCCTAGGAGAGAGAAATTGCATCCAAACGCAATTTGCGTTCCGTTATTGCGTACGGTTGGAGGTGATTTTTCCCTTTTGCGTTTGGGGATGCAGTATGGTTGGAGTTGGTCTTAGACCATCTCCATCCTTTATCTCTACTCTAGTGTAGAATTTACTCTACTCTAGAGTAGAATTAACCAACAATCAAAGTTCTTCTCCAATCGTTTGCGCTGCATTTTACTCTACATGAATATTTACAATTTAATCTAATTATTTAAATTAATTTTAATGAAAAAAATATAATTTAATAAATATATTATTTTAAACATATTTAGTTATTTAAATTATCAATATGACTAAAAATACTATTAAATACAAAATTATTTCTATCAATATTATTTTATTTTTTAGAAGATGAATCAAATATTTTCTCTAATATCAAGAAAGTTATAATGATTCTCAATTGGTATCAAAGTTATAGATTTATTACTAATATTATATATAGATTTCAAGATTATTCTTTCACTAACAATATATATAGATACCAAGATTATTTTATTTAGTATTAATATTTACAATTAATAAATATAAAATAAAATCATNAAAATCATTCAGCACAAATGAAAAGTACAAATCTAATAAATCATTGAGCACAAATGTGGCTCAATACTGTAGATATATATCATGTGGCGCAAAAATATAGACAATCAATTTTGCACAACTCTGGCAATCAAATTTGCACAAACCGTGGCGTAATCAGCAAATGCTCTTATCTCCTTTCCAGTCATCATTTTAGTGTAGCTTCTCATTTTTTACACTGGGATTTTTTGTCGTAAAACGAAAACATTCAAAAACAAATAAATAACATTGCATAAAACACACCTTCAACGAAGTTGGCAGAGTAGAACCAAAAACAAAATGATCCCTATGAATAGAAAACCTATGTGCAAAATCAAAACACAAAATATGAAACGTTTAGAAGAAAACAAAAAGCCGCATAAACCTATCAACAACTAGCCGGTTCTAAGAGAAGGAACGAAAAAGGGAGAGGGGGATAGAGTCAGAGAGCACTTCAACTCAATCCAAACAAAGCATAATTATAAGATTCTCCTGACAAATACAAACAAAATAATACAATATCTGAAACCTTACTATTATGGCACCACATTATTATTCAACAAATGATATAAACGACATAAACAGGAGAGGGAAAAAGCCAGTTGCAGGTCACTTGCCAATTCTTCTCATAATTTTTTTTATTCCTTTTCACAAACAGCTTACTTGACAAGCATGACAAAATCAGTAATCAGAACCAACTGTTGAAGATTGTTCCTCAGTGACAGCAGCAGCAGCATCTGAACTGAGCTTGGAGGATTTAACGTCGGGCAGAGGGAATTTTATCTTGGGCGCAAGCCTCTTGGCTTCCTCAGTAGTGTAGATATATATCTTCTTCACCATGGTGCAAAATTCACTAATACACATTAAACAAACCGGATAACACAGTATTAGCATTTTTCAAAACATATAAATGTCCAATCTCTGAAACAATAAAGTAGGAAAAAGTTCCTGCGTGTTCACCAGGATGTCAATCATTTTTCCCTCAAAATCATAATAATAATAACAAACAACAACAATGAGTCTTTACATATAATAAGAGAAGTATGGACTTTAAACAAGCATGCCCAGTAGACAAAATGCTGCGATACTCTGGGATAGTAAAATAATATGCCAAAGGCAGTATGGAACAGATGCCCACTTGAAACAGAAAATCAAATAATCTCTTTCAAAAGTGAGGAAAACTAAGAATTACAACAGGAATAACTAACGAAACTATGCCTTGAATGCACAAACTTTGCCATGGCCCATCACGCAAACATCATACTTAAATGAACAACGGTACAGAACCAGAAGCAAAATACATGTGTATGGAAAAATGAGAGAGAGAGGGAGAGAGAGGGAGAGAGAGAGGAACCAAGAGTTGGACTTAACTGCCATGGATCATCTCCAACCATCATCATGTCATCTTCAAAATCTGTATAAACAACCTGCCATTTCTTTGTTGAGCCCCTAAGTTCCCCAAAAATTTCAAACATCTCCTCGAATTTCTTAAGTAGATCCTCGTAGCAATCAAACCTGGTCAGATCTACTGCTCTTCCAACAGCAATACCTTGCATGTGCACCTAAAAAATTATGTCATGCCATTATTATTTACAGTTCATAATGCAGGACATCTCCCAAGAGAATGAAACAAGAAAGTGACATATTACTAAGTAAAACCCATTTATAAAAATTCATTATATCCTTCAACAGCTGGTCTTTGCCTTTTTACTCGTGGTGATATCGAGCGCCGGCCTGTGGACTTTGGGAGAGATTCATTCTACTACAAGAACTTGTGCTTGCAATCTTTGCAGTTTTAAAAATTTATTCAGTATATGTTTAGTTATGGTTCTAAGAGGTTAGATTAATTTCTGGGGCTCTGGTGGTCTCTTTATTGGTGCTTTTGTTTGCAATTTTTTGGTTCTCATTAGTCAGTTGCTTATAAGTAATAAGATATCGTTTAATGGTCTCGAGAGGAATCAGACATTAGAGGAGAGTTAATGAACTGCTTGAGAAAGACTCTCAGCAAGCATGTATATAAAGTAAAATTTGGACAGGCAAGATCCCTTGATTATAAGGATTGAAATAAAATTACGATAAATCAGTATCCCTAATTTCAATTTACTATTATAAGAGAGAGAGAGAGAGAGAGATTAAAGGAAATACCCAATTATACCTCAACAAATGGATACAGTTTTCCATGTCTATTAACTATACATTTAGATTTAGTTATTTGTGAGTCTGTACTTCTTGTTCTGCAATTCTCTGGTTCTCATTTATCATTTATTTATAAACTAATGTTCATTGGATATATGGTTCGTACGCCAACTTCTTTAAAACCTATGATGTTTAGCATTGAGGACATATGGATTGCTATTTCTTCTTCTCATGGATTTTAGTTAGTTTTCACCAAACCCCATCTCTACCTTACATGGGATGATGTTTGGAATAAAAAAAAAGTTGGTAATGACCGTCTAACAACCTATATTTCCTCCCACATCACGAGGCATTTTAAAAGATAAGTCGTAACAAGCTAAAATTACCTTCGTGCAGCTCCTGCTTTGCCTGCCATGCGGCTCATGGGAAGATCTCAGGCATGACTTCTCAGGTTCACAACTAGCTGAGGGAACATCAGACAGGATATGGTTTGACGGCTCAGACTGTTGTTCACATTCAGCATCTAAAGGGATACGGGAATCCTCATCAACTGCTCCAGGCTGGACTGGTGGTGACGTGTCCTCAACTATTGAGTGGTCAAGCAACTCAATCCCAAATAGTCTGCACCCATTCGCCTGCCTTTTCTCAGTCATGGGTGCAAATGACTCTGAAGCAGTTTCGATTTGATTAGGCTGGTACATAGAATTGCTTGAAACAGGCAATGAGTTATCGTTGTAACTCAATGGATTGACTCTGGTGCCCGAACTACGTCTAGGCGACTGATGTAGATCTCGACCATGTGAAGGGTCACGAAACGAAAACGACGAAGGGGAGTCAGCGGGTGACCTCCACATGCCTATTAGGAACAATTACTGGTTTTCAAAAGTCATTGGTAAACAAATAATTGATATACGCCATAAGAGAAAAGGGTCATACCAAGCGGAGATAGATCTTGCATTGGAGAAGGCAAAACAATTGGCCGTGCTCTCTTGTTTCTCTGTTGAGTCTGTAAGTTTGGAGGGGTTGCTGTAACCAGTGGCTCTATTTCCCAAGGTGAAACCCGATCAGGACGTATTATCAAGGATGGTTCATCCCATTGGACCTGGATAGGTATATAGGTTAAGATTTCCATTCAAATACAAAACTTTGTTTCTTAATTATATGTCCTTTTTTTTTATTTTTGGTTAGGTTGAGATACAAAATAATTTGTGATGCAAAACATCAATCATCAGCACGTGCAGCATCTATAGAAAATTTTCAACACTTCAAGAGCAAACTGGGTTCAATCTTCCAGTTGACGGAACCCCCCCAAACAAGTTATGCCAAATGAGATTAGCTTTACCTTCAAAGATCTCCATTCTGAATCAGGCCATCCAGATGAAGCATTATCCCCGACTCCAACAATGGTGCCACTAAATCTACATGAACATGGAAAAACAATTGTTATCACCGAAATATCTGTAATCTCACTTACAAGCAAGAGTTGTTTATTGAAATTTTTGAATTGTCAATACTACCTAATGCCTACATGCAATCTAATTCTTAAGAATATTAATGGCAATTAAATATTAAGGATGTGTAGTTACAAATCATATCTATATTAATAACAATTGTTTAGGAATTTATTGCATTGCCATTAATCTTATATTAATTATTATTTGATTGCATTTGCATCCTTCTTTCAGGTGTTTTGAGAACTCAACCATAATCTCCTAGCCATTGACAACTAAAAAACTTCATGAGATTATCTTTTTCCCTTGCAATGATCAACTCTCACTGTCTAAGTTATTAGGCCAGTTTAATCAGCAACTGTTACAAACAGAGGTAGACCAACTAATTTCTAGGTTAGTTTTAAGTTTATCTTTCATTGCATTTGGATATTGAACAACAACAACAACAACATAGCTTTTTAGTCCCAAGCAAGTTGGGGTAGGCTAGGTTAGTTTTAAGTTTATCTTTCATTGCTTTTGGATATTGAACAACAACAACAACAACATAGCTTTTTAGTCCCAAACAAGTTGGGGTAGGCTAGAGATGAAACTCAAGAGAACCAATGGTAAGAGAAACACAAAAAGGGGTCAAAACAAAAGGTTTCTCATGTATTTCATCTCCATAGAACGGCTAGGTTTTACGTTGGCTCGCCAAGCCTATCACAACCTCCTCCTTTACCAAGCTTGGGACCTGCTATGTTGAGACAACATAGGCGGAGTTCTTTTGGAGTTGAAATAATAATTAATTTCATCTTATTTTCATATTGCTTCATTTTGAATATTGTCAAAATTTTGATATTGTACGTGTTGTATTTCCTCTTCATCATACGGAAGACAAGTAAATCCTTCAGATTTACTTTATCAGAATTGAACATCTAATTTTACTTCCAAGTATGTTTTGGTCATGGATATTTTAGAAATCTGAAACTATCTATTTCTCATTTTTTCTAACACGAGTTCTCCGAATGTTGCATGTGTTTTTTCTGTTGATAAGAAGGCAAAGCATTTAGTAAGTGTCTGTTTTCTTAGTAACAGAGCCTTATAAGAACTTGATTTATTAAATATATGGATTATGCACATGAGGAATTGATGATTGGGAAAAAAGAAATTTTGCCACCTGCACTATGAACATTTTTTGCTTTTGCAATCTATAGTTTTTTTATTTCCCTTTTTAAGTGCAATCCTTTAAGTGCAACATGGAGTTCACAAAATTGATTTTGCAACCTTGAGTGCAGCTTGACCATACACGTGCGCGGTTGGTTCTCTCGATTCTGGTCAATATGCATTCAAGGTTGCATATCATGATTTCTGTGAACTTCCGGTTGCATTTTACCAAAAATAATACTATAGGTTGCAAAATCTAAAATCGTGTATAGTTTCATTAATAAAATATCATCTTTTCTAATATTCAATAAAAATAGAGGACACCTACACATTAAAAAGAAAATATATGAATTTACTTCATGATTGTTCCTTTTATAATCTGATGAAAGATTATACATAATTAGATAATCCCATTTCAAAGAAGAAATTATGTATTTGAGAAATTGATGACTATGTTCTCTAATGTGTTATAATTGCAACTGAAGGTGAGGGAAAATAGATACACAAAATAATGAAATTGATTTATTGTGTATTACTGTTACTACTACTACAATATAAACAAAACTCACGCTGAGTTACAAACTGAGCATGCATTTTGCAAGGCATAAGCAATAGAAACATACTATGCCCAAAATCCTTTTTGCAATCACATTTTAATAGTTGATCAAGTATTTAACCATTAGTACCACGAGAAAGAAGATAGTTATGAAGAAAAAATTATATCTCAAGAACGCATTCAGCTATTGAATAACATTGATAATGATAAAGATCAGTTCATTCGTTTCAACTAGGGGTGTTCAATCGATCGAAACCGAACTGAACCGAGCGAAGTTTTGGTTTGTCCAACATAAAAAACCGAAAACCGAACCAAAATTTGTTGTTCAGTTCGTTTTTAAACAGAAATTCAATCGGTTGGATCGGTTTGGTTACCGGTTAGCCAATAAAATGAAGAAATTATAAAAATTTACAAAATCTACAAGTAGTGAGTTACAAAAATAAAAATAGCTAGATAATAAATAATTTCACCGAACCATACTGATACGCATTNAAATACAAGTCTATCCAGTCTCACACACACACACACACACACACGATTGAAAATAGGGAGTGTTGGAGACGAGCATATTTTGAGAATTGGGCTTGGGTGTGGAGAAAATATCATTCATTTGGGCTTTCTAAATATGTATATATCGGTTTTCGCTTTGGTTTGGTTAACCGAGCACTATATCTAAACCAAACCAAAAACTGATATTTAAAAACTAAATAAACCGAATTTTTGGTTCGGCTTCAGTCCAAACCAAATTTTCAGTTTAGGTCGGTTTGGCTCGGTTAACCATATTTTGTTCACCCCTAGTTTCAACTTAAGAACTTCATGTATTATTTTCTATCATTCTCCTCAAACATTATCATTCAAGTTATTTATATTTTCTGCCCTTTTCATTTTACATTTACTTATGATACTCTATCTACCCTCTTTTATATAACTCATAGAAGAAACTTAAATGTAATTCAAATATAAATACTACGGAATAGTAGTTTTCTAGAAAGTATATATTGCTCATCTTCTCACATTATCAGCACATGTACCTTCGTTCGGGAACCTCTTCACCTTCAAACCTCATCTTAAACCTCAACCCAACTGAGAGCTTGTGACTTTGAGCTTCAAGATACTTGTTAAGACTCACTATGAATTCAGACCGACTAGTCCTGGGTAAATATGATGGCAGCATGTTAAAAAAACGTGATACATCAAAGTCACCGCCACTGCGTATACGGTATACAGACAAAGAGAATAAAAAGACTGACATGATAAAGCATGATATTGATATTACCCGATGATGCTGTATTAATGAAGGGAAATAAGTCAAGCACAACTTAAAATCTGCTCAACAAGACCATTCATAAGACATCACATACAAAGCTAAACATTATGACTCCAAAGAAAGTGGATAGCACACAAAGTTGCCATGCTACACATAAGATGGTTCCAATAAATATCAACTGAATAAAGTAACTGAAGAAATGGTTGAAAGGAAGACCACACAACCTTGGTTTATAGAACACTGAAAATAATGTTCGAGTGGATATGGCATGTGATGCAGTGGCAAGAACTCCCAGATGCATACTGTGACTTGATATAACAGAAGATGGAATATTATATAGTTGTCTCATCAGCCTTCGCACACCAACTCGAAGTTCTCCGTTTTCACCTCTGCCAAAATTGAAGGAGAATTACTGCAATTTTGAACAGCTAACATGAAGAAAGAGAAAACACCATATTTTGACACTCATATATTCATACCTTAAGAAGATGAAAGCATCTCCTGCGACTAACTTCTTTGCACTGACAAATACACTCCATCCAGTTGTCAGTAAGTGGCGCCTTGGCTGACCTAAGAAGACCAATCCACATCAATAAGAATGTTATGATTGGTATAATGGAATGAAATTTCGTAGGAATGGAATGAATTGAGGAATTGAATGATTATGGGAGTGGAATGAAACAAGTTTTGGCATTGATGCGTTTGGTATGCAGAAGGAATAGAAATTGAATGAAATGACATTATCATTTTTTATTATAAAAATAAATAAAAGTTTTTTTTAAAAATAATATACTTTTAATAAATTATATATAAATGCTTTATTAATAATATATAAAAATAAAATATATATTTTTTAATAATATAAAAAATAATATATTTTTAAAAATATATAAAAATAAAATAATATATTTTTAAATTATATAAAATAATAATATATTCTTAAAATTAATATATTTTTAATATATAAAAAATAATATATCTTTAATAATATATAAAAATAAAAGTAATATATTTTTAATAATATATATTTTATTTTTTAATTAAACAATAAATAAAAGTAAGTTTTCAATTTTTTATTTGAATTTTATTTTTAAAACAATATATTTTTAATAATATTTAAAAATAAAAATAATATATTTTTAATAATATATATTTTTTATATTTTTCAATTATATTCTTTATAAAGGAATATATTTTTAATATATAAAGAATAATATATTTTTAATAATATATATAAATAAATAATATATTTTTAAATTATATATAAATGCTTTTTTTAGTTTATTTTTATATAAGTATTTATATCTAATTAAAAATAAATAAAAGTAAGTTTTCAATTTTTTTATTTGAATTTTATTTTTTTAAATAATTTTATTTAATATATTTTAATCATGATTTATGATATATATTATACATCTATTTTTTATTATTATTTGTTAATTTATTTTTTGAAAAATTGATTCCTACACACATGGGAATGAGAAAACCTTCCATTTACTATGGAATGGCTAATCCCATGAAGATGGGTTATGCCATTCCCATTGAAATGGTCATTCCTTTTCAAAAAATATACCAATCATGGATAAGGAAATCATGGGATAAAGAATGAGTAAGGGAATGATCATTCCATTGCCATGTCATTCCTTCCTACCAATAGTTTGGCATGTTAGTTTTTCAAAAAAAGAAAAAGAAGTGAGCAAGATGCTGCGTTTCTCTACAAAATCATTAACCCAAGAAACAAAGAAGTAGAACAGAAAATCTTTTGTCCATAGACAAAGAACCCATGACTTTTGACAATATGCTCAGAGGCTCCATAGCCTAGCTGAAAGCACCTTAGCCAGGACTCTAAAAGTTATTCACAACCCATTTAACATGCAAGTACTGTGAGTTTAATTTTTTACACCTAATTCTTTTTTACTCCTTGTAGGTTCAAGATTATTGAGAACTCTGAAATAATATGAAAGTGTCATCATGATAAGGACAATTGTGCACGATCATCAGCCCAAGAAAGGTCTTGGGTTGGATGCATGGTGAAAAAAAAAACCAGGACACAATTCCAATCTTCGCAGGACATAGAAAATGTAAAAAATAATAATAAAGAAAAAGAAACACAGGGAAAACAATAAAATGGAAACTAAAGGCACGACCGGATGCCTTTTCAGTTCAAAATTTTTTTTCACAAGATGATAAGTTGTGAAGTGCTTGCCCAAAAAAATCTAAAATTAAAATATAATTCATTCAAAGTCACTTTTTTCTCTCACCAATCACTTCAATTCATTTTTAAACAAGACGGCCTAAAATCTAATCATCAATACATATTTTCTCAGTAAATTTCACGATTTACTCATTCACATACAAATTCATTTTTTTCTTGTTATCACTATTCTCTCACCAACAGAAATTCAAAATGGGTGTTTGTGTCCAAGGCACCGTTCGCAAATTTGATTCTAACCTCGGAAAATGTGCCGGAAATGCCACTCATTTCCATGAAGATCAGAAGCTACCAATTCTTGCCATGGTGGTTGCTGAGACATATCCTGCAACATGAACAAAAATCTTACATTCCATTTTTCCTTTTCTTTTTTGTTTGTGCGTGTGTGGAGAGATGTAGAGCATATCAAAATCCTAAAATCTTACTAATTGGGGTAAACAATCATCAGCATGCCTTCGCAAAACTGAGAATCCACCATGGGTGCTGGTATCAGAAGCTGTGAGAGTCTTGCAAAATGAGTAAACAGTACACCTTTCAGGCTCTGGTAGAGGCGGATCTGGACTTGTGATCTCACTTTGCTGATCCACCAAATAGACAAACAATATCACTTAGTATCACCAATAGAAACTCAGACGAGCAGTTACGCTGCAAGCAACTGTAAAAAAATGCTGGCATAGTCAAAGTAAACAACCCATCCATCTTCTCTTAGAATAAGAACAGGTCAAATCCACTTGACCAGGCACCAAACAATAGAGAACTCAATCCAGATTTCAGAAGTGAAATATATAGCACATAACACTAGTCCAGATATAGTGTTACCAAACTTACTACAGAAATGTCCAATTCGAATCTCAATCCATAACTAAGTATCAACGAAGGAACTCTATTCAGAAAGACAGAAACAACTGAATTGCATAATTGCAAGCTACACATTCTACAAAAACAAGAAGCTACTCGTTGAGGCCTATTCGGGGAAGAGGGAACAACAGAACCGGCCTTAAAGATTGTAAGTTGCACGTAAACTATTGAATATCGAACAAGTGTACAAGTAGTAAATTAGGTAATGGAACTTACGTCTTGTTCAGGAATCAATGTAATCTGCGCATACACCTCATCCGTGTCTGGTTCAGCCTGCAAATTTGAGTTGGACAAGTAGAGAAAATGGATATTGAAGCAGAATGAGTAAATTTCTAGCAAACAAAAGTCAGCAAAATGGCAAAATGTACTTAGAAAGTGTGCTTCAAGGAACCTTACCCGAAGCTGAACATGCATCACTTTGCAAAGGATCTTACTAGGTAGGTTAAATGAAGGGAGTTGTTGATCTAGCCCCTGATGTGTTGATGCTTCAAGCTAGAAGATATCAATAAAGTAGTTGCTAGTGAGTAAAAAATTATAGTATGGACGTCAAAAGGGATACAACAACATAAAACACATGTATCTTGGAGAGAGGTCCACTCAATGTAGAAGGAATAAAAGAGACAGACACATGGCCCATACAAAACTCGAGGGACAGGGAAGTAAAAAGGAAAAGAATTTATACAGAATAACAAATATAGCATGAACGCATAATAGATTTTTCTTTCGATCGTTCTTTAGAGAGAGAGAGAGAGGAAATAAGAACACCTAAAAGAAGTTTTAATGAGTTCAATTTAACTTTGAATATGTTTCTATCAGTTGTGAAGTTGTACGAAATATTTGAAGAAAGAGAAAGATTGTAATTGAAGGGAAAGTTAGATTAAATGTTTGGATTTTATCTCAGGAAACGTTGCAGGGTAGAAAACAGTATCAAATAAACATGCAGATCTTTTGAATCCCAATCATATGACTAAAGTGAGGAACTTAAGCATTGCAATCGAGAGAAGAAACTTGGTAAGAACATGGAGAAACACGGAGACCTGTTCCATGTGACCTTGCGGAAAGTAATAAACTCGTTCGCCCTCACGTGGAACAGTGACTAGGGGCCCAGCACAAGCATGCCAAAGTTCTTTGTACAGTGCGCCATTTGGTTGTCCTGCAAAACAAATAAGTAAAAGACAAAATAAGAAATGGGAACAGATAGACTGTGAAGATATTCTGAACATTGGAAGTTCACATACTTCTGGAAGCCTAGCAACATTAACAAACACAATAACCAGAAAAAAAACGAAGCTCATGCTCTGTAACCTAAAACACTAGAAATTGATGTCTTAATTGATATCAACGTGAAAAAACTATTTATAAACACTATCGAAGAACAGTGAAGCTATTTTCGAAAAAACAAATGCAGCATTAGCATAAGATAGCAGCAAGATCTATGAGGAATAAGCAATCGGTTTCATCAAAAACCTTGAATGCAAAAGAAAATAGAAAAGACGAGAAAAAAAAAAACAAAAATAAAACACGAGCATGCTAGACTAATAGTTCATACTACTAAGTGACAGGTTGACACCAAAGGAGGTTAGTTCCATGAAACATGTGTGCGACATCAAACAGATAGAAAGGGTATTCAACTTCATATTGAGCACAGAGTTTCAGAATGGATGATTCGCACCTGGTGGACGCCCTCCAGCAAAGTGATTAACAGTAAGGTATGCCATAAGAGAACTCGCTCAATAAACAGTGCTTAGTGATTGATCTAGTTCACAGATATCAATGGACCTTATCCTGGATAAAGAAGGCATATCCAAAAATCATAACTAGAGCTGATATAATAAATTAAACACATGCACTAAGATAAGAAATCCTCACGCAAATACAAAAAGTCCTAATCCCTCGCACTTTCAGCTTGGAATACAGCAAAAAGCTTGTCTGTAGCACACTTTCTTGCATACTTACCATTCAGAAAATGTGAACCTTTAAGACAGATATCACCACCAAGCTTTTATTTATTGCCCCAAGTTCAGGATAAATTTATTTGAAAAGTAAAATTAACTAAACTTTATTCATAAGCTTCCAAACTAGTTCTTGCTTCGCCAACAACTATCCGCATGACAAACACCACAAGACCTCAAGTACTACTTAACCAAGAAGAATAACCAACATATAATACTCTCAACTCAATCAGAATGACACAATGCTAAAACCCTTAACTTACACCAATCCAAGAGACGCTCATGTTTGTTTACAAGAATTTTCAAAAAATTTCCAACATTTTAACTCAACCACTTTTTTTAACTCAACTTTAACTTAACCCCACTATCATCAATATTATCAATATAATTAAATAATATTAATCAATCATTCATATACACCACATCAACCTTAATTCACTATTCATCCACTCACATTATTTTAACTATCACTTCAAATCATCCCTCTCCTACTTTACATCACATCAATTTTAATTATTTTATTTTAATTATTATTTTAATATACTCACTAACACCTAACATACAACCATTTCAAAATTAACCAAACGAAACAAAAAAAATCCAAACAAAACCAAAAATTTCCATAAACAAACATGCTCAGCATACATGCAATGCATTGCGAACAAAACATAGACAGCATGTCAATTTACTTTTTTCAACATTCCAAACAAAGACGATCAAGACAGAGGAACATTTTGAATACTAGGTGGGTTGTTCCAGAGCAAAACGAACAAGTTCTACTTCTTGTTGACTAAAATGAAGAAAGATAAATCACACCAGCGCTCAAGCAAGTAAAGGTCGAGTAATTACAAATCTTCAATCAAAAAAAGTAACTCAAAGTCTAACGACTAACAAGATTCCGACGGGATGAACCCAAACTTACAGAATTCAATATCCTCATAAACATCCAAAGAAAGCGCTTAAAGTTTTTATTTAGTTTTCAAGTATATGCAAAAGTAAAACCCGATACCATAAATATCCCACACTTAACACAAAATTGAAACAAATACCAAATTAAGCCCCTTCGTTAACCACCTAAACCCTAAAAGATTCCACGCTTTTTATCCACCAAATCACAGCCACACGAGCTTCTCTCACATCAATGGGGTTGTTCTTCAATTATCAGCTTAAAAAAATTACGAAATCCGCTACAAATTCCGGATCAGCAACTCTTGTAAACAGTTTAACAAAATTTTCCGTGGTGAAAAATAAGAATAAGAGAAATTCAAAGGGAAGCTATGTGGAATGGGGATAAAGGGTCTTTGCTCGGGTGAAGCCGACAGTAATATATACTCTCCTTAGGCCTCTTTCACATTGAACATGATAAGACTAATTTATGTAAAAAAAAATAACGTTTTGTTAAAATTTATCTTATTTTTACTTTTTCGGACCTACCTCTTTCTCTCCTTTTTTTTCTTTTTTCCACGGTAATAGACATGGCCGCGACCCGGACCAAAAACCGGTACAAAACCGGCCAGAATCGGCCCATAACCGGCCACATAAGGGCCGGTCCGTAGAACCGCAAGGACCGCGGTTCGGTCCAAATTCAAAAAAAAAAAATTGGTCCTGGCGGTCCGGTTCGGTTCGGGTCGGGTCACGGGCCGACCGCCGGCAACAATTTCTTCCTTTTTATTTTAATTTTTTTTATTATTTTTTATTTGACGGGTCAGGCCAGGTCAACTAAACCGAACCAGACCGACCCGTCAACCTGTCAGAGCCGCGCCCTGCCCATACCGACTAGTCGTTGGGCCGTCCCGGGCTACGGGTCGGGCCGATCCAGGTACGGGCCCAACGGTCAGAATTTAAAAAAAAATGAATTAATATGGGCCGTTGGATCGTTGTGATTCAACGGCCCAGATCTGTTGGCCCGCCGACTCGCCGGTACGACCCAAGAACCGGCGGGTTCCGAAATAAAAAAAGAAAAATTAAAAAAATTCGAGTTTCAGTAAAAAAAAATAATAATAATAAAATAATCCTAAAATTACACTATAAACACTATAAACTCCCCCCTCACATTTTTTCCACACCACAATTCATCGCTCTCTCTCCCTTCTCTCTAACTCTAAGTTCTAGTGTTCTACTATCTATCTTTTAGTGTTCGGTTTTCATTGCTCGGTTAATCGTTTTTAGTTTTGTGTTCGGTTTCAAAAAAAAAAGAAAGAAAAAAACCGAAAATAAAAAAAAATACCGCATCTCCCATTTTTTTATATCATCATATTCTATATTAATTTTCTCCAATTTATTTTTTATTTTTTAAATTAAAAAATGTCGAGCTCTCATGGTGGTCGTGGTTCGAATTCCGGACAGAAACGTAGAAATATCGGCACCGGCACATCTTCGTCGAGACCTCCATTGCCGGAATTTGCGAGTCCATCGATACATATGGATATTTTCGGTGTCGCCGATGACATTGATGAGGCAACGATCGACCGCATGTTTGGCTCAATTCATCCTGAGCAACAAGAGCAGCAGCAGCCGTATCACGACCATTTCGATGATATATTCGGAGCGTCACCGCCGGAGGTTCAACAACCGACGCAGCACCAGCAGCCGGACAGCCCGGACCCGGACCCGGCCTCTGTCTTCGCCCGTGGCAGACTGGGATCTGCCATGTTCAAACAACATTACACGAAGGAGGCCAATCTGAAAAGAGGTGAGAATCATTTTTTTATTGTTTGCAACTACTACCCGATCAACGACAAGAAGAGGTACCATTTCAAAAAAGGCGACGGCTACAGATCATTGAAACGACACTTACAGAGTTGTCATCCGAATAGTAGCGTTGCATCTGCCACGACTGGTACAGGTACGCCATCTTTATTTCACTACTCAAATGAAAATCATAGACGCCATTTAGCTGAATTTGTTTCTGCTTCATCTCTTCCGTTTAGTTTTGGTGATAGTGATTTATATGAACATTTTGGTCAAATGGTTTTGAATCCGGCTGCCCACCGGGTTCCACGTACTACTCTTACTCGCGATATTCGAAAAATAGTGGCGGAAAAAAAATTAATTTTGCAAGAAACTTTTAAATCTTTAAATCATAAAATATCCATTTGTGCTGATATCTGGTCTGATCATTGGCAAAATAACTTCTATTTGGGAAATTACTTGTTATTGGATAGACGAAACTTGGAGTTTACAAAAACGTTTAATTGCTTATGTTGCATTTCATGAACGACACACTGCTTCTAATATTGCTCGTTTAATTTAAAAATTTTTGGATAAATATCAAATAGGTAAAAAAGTATTTTTCATTTCGTTTGATAATGCTACTGCAAATACTGCATCTATACGTGAACTTGCCGATATATGCACTCCAATTTGCGGCGGAAGATTTTTTCATATTCGTTGTATATGTCATGTCTTAAATCTCTGTGTACAAGCTGGTTATCATGCTTTTAAAGATTCGGTCACGCCAATTAGGGACGCTGTTAATTATTTACATAAACGTCCCCATGAAATGAAAGCATGGGGACGATTTTGTAAGGATCAAGAGGTGAAACCTAAAAAATTTCAACCCGACGTTCCTAACCGGTGGAACTCAACATTTAAAATGTTGAGTGACACGGTTCCCTTTATGACACAATTGCAGAATTTTTTTAACCATGCAAACCGTAAGGACTGTGATGTCCGAGTGTCAACAAGATATTAGGAGAACAGTAATGTACTTATTCATTTTTTAGAAACATTTCAAAATGCTACTAACATGCTTTCAGGTGTTTATTATCCTACTGCTCAGCTTGTGTTAAGTCAAGCTATAGCCATAATGTGGGCTTTCAAGGATCTTTACGACTTGAATTTTAATAAATATGGCTATTTAGTTGAAGAAATGTTAAAGAAAATGGTTAAAATATTATTATTTCATTCCTGATACACATTTAGTTACATGTTTGTTAGATCCTTCGGTACGTGAAGCTCGCTTGGTAGAGCAACTTAACATGTAATATAATTATATGTATGAACTCCCAATCCCGACTGATGTCCTGACATACAGTAAAAAACCTAACGTACTACTGCTCGTCGAACAAGCAAAAATTTGTTGTATGACATGTTTAGGGAAACAACGATCGCACAAGGAGAACCTTCCAACACATTTGTTCGTGGCGGCGGGGGCAGCGGCAGCGGGTCTTCTTCTTACGGCGGTAGTCAAGTAGGCGCTTCGAACTATAAGGAGTGGTGGGCATCATTAAATCCCTACAAGAATGCTGGTGTTGAAAAGGCAAAGGGAACTGGATACTATGAGCTTGATCACTACCTAACGTCGAATTTGATACTTACGATTGCTCGTGAACTAAGTCTGCCACTCAATTTCGATGTCTTGGACTGGTGGTCGAGAATGCAAGGCATATATCTAATTTCTTGCTTGATGGCTAAAGAGATTTTCGTCGTCCCAACATCTACAATTGCGGTCGAGCAAGCCTTTAGCGAGGGAGGTTATATGCTCGACGCACGACGATCGAGGCTGACGCCCGAAAATCTACAAGCACAAATGCTACTGATGGATTGGAAAAAGGTCGAACGAATGATGCAAACGGCTATGTACGTAGATGAAGAAGCGGACGACGACGACGATGCATCCGATTTTACGAGTACGACGAGTGGTGGAACCGGAACAACAGATGACGAGTACGACTATTAGAGAAAACCACTCGTGTACAGGTAAGTAAATCGAAAGAACTACGTGGACTTTGATTAAAGGATACGTAGACAACTTAATTGACATTTATAAGTTAAAATATCAATTTTTGGCCAAAACACAAAAAAAAAATCAAGTTATATGATATTTTAACTTAATAATGTCAATTAAGCTGAAGTCCATTTTTTTTATATCAACTTTAAAATATCTTAACGTAACAAGAATTAATTTTGTTTTAGAGAACATTGTTCAGAAATTCAGGCAATAATATCAATTACTCAAATTATTCCTCGCCCACAATCTCCATTGTTGTATTGTAGCCGTATGAAAGAGTGCGACCCAGGTTCTACAAGGGAGATTGTCGGCGTGGCATTATTGGCGTAAATGATGTTATTGCTTTGATCATTATTTGGTCAACTTTTGGAATTTCTTGAGCTATAAGTAAATTAAAAAAAGTACATGAACTTTCATTCTCAATTTAACGGATACGTAGGCAGCTTAATCCTTATGTTAAAATGTCAATTAAAATAAGTTAAGTTACATCACTAGAAGGATGTTCTATAACGGAGACAATCGCAGTTAACGTCGTTGACGGGGTTCTTAGATGTTCAACAATCTTCCAACACTGCAAGAAAGCTGCAGTCTTTTTCACACACCACTAAAAATATTGGATTATTGTATCAAATTATTGATAAAATAATCCAATAGTTCTAGTGTGTGTGGAAATGATTGTAGCTTTCTTGTAGTGTTGGATGATTGTTGAACATTTAAAAACCCCGTGACCGACGCTAAGAGCAATTGTTTCCGTTATAAAACATCATTCACAAATTTAAACAATAACATCAATTACACCGATTATGCCACGCCCACATTCTCCCATTGTGGATCCTGCTTCTGACTCTCGTATACGTCTACAATATAGCAGTTAGAATTTTATGACACATGCCGACATACCAAATTTCTCAATACTTGAAGTTTGTAGAAGTTTGTCTGTGTATACTATTTCTAACTGCTATATTGTAGGCGTATGAGAGAGTCAGAAACAACATCCACAATGGGAGAATGTGTGTGTCATCATTGTTGTAATTGATGTTATTGCTTTCAATTGTAATTGGTAAACTTTTCGAATTTCTTAGAATGAAAATCCACAATGAATCACGACCTTAAAAAACGAATGCCTAAATACCTAATATTCAAACTTAAAAGAACTACGTGGACTTTGATTCCCAATATAAGGGCGTAGGCACGTTAATTGACATATGATATAGTATACTTATTAAATGTCAATTAAGCTCAAGTCTATATTTTTTATCAACTTTAAAATATCTTAACTAACAAGAATTAATTTTCCTTTATAAAACATTGTTCAGAAATTCAGGCAATAATATCAATTACTCCAATTATTCCACGCCCATAGTCTCCATTGTTGTATTGTAGCCGTATGAGAGAGTGCGATGCAGGTTCTACAAGGGAGATTATGTGCATGACATTATTAGCGTAATTGATGTTATTGCTTTGATCATTATTGGTTAACTTTTGGAATTTCTTGAGCTATAAGTAAATTAAAAAAAATTATTTAGACTTTCATTCCCAATTTAGACCCTAAGTTAAAATATCAATTAAAATAAGTTAAATTACATCACCAGAAGGATGTTCTATAACGGATACAATCGCAGTTGGCATCATTTACGGGGT